CACTTGCCAGATCGCCCAGGAGGTCGCTGAGAGAATCCAGGAGCGTAACCGGTACCAAAGGAACGGGGAGAGTTCGGCCAAGGTACTCCTCTGCCCGCCGCTCTGGGGGCTGTGGACGTTTTTAGCTGGCGTTTGCTTTTCAGCGTTCTAAACGCTGGTTGAGCACTGGATTCGCGGGAGTCGGATGTGCGGAGGACGCCGTAGGCCCCGGGTTCCCGGCCTCTCTGGCCGCAGAGGGAAGCGGGGCGCGTTAGTCGAGTGACGTGGCGGGGAGCGCTGCGGGGAAGGGGGTGACGTTGGTCCAGGGACGGGCTGTGTCAGGTCATCGCTGCTGCCAGCGGGGAATCTGCAGATTAAAAGTTATGTTTAACGGCAGGAACCTAATATTAATGGTATGTTCTCTAAGGTTTCCCCAGAGAAAACAAGAATACGGTTTCTAAATTAAGGGTAGCTTTTCAGTGTCACAAAAATAACCTTGGATTTAACGGTAACGGATCTTTTAACGCTGGCTTTACAAAAAGAGACAAGGAGAAGCCGTGGGAGTGTTGGGCACACGCTGCTGACTGCTCAGGGCTGCCGCTGCCAGGAACAGAACTGTTTTCAGAGATCCTGAATCTAAGAGATGTTGGGATGCACGTCAGCTTCTGCACACTCCTTTCTGTGTAAATATTGAACAGTTTTTTTTTTTCCCCACAAGGCTGGCTTGCTTCCTTTCTGTAGTGGCAGTAGATCAGATGAAATATGAATTTTGTGGCCTTTTCTAACAAAATACAAGACCAGAGTTAAATATGAATGAGAAGGAGAAGTTGGAGCTTACCCAGGAATATTATGTTCTCCACCTTTTCACACTTCCTGTTTAAAAAATAAAATAAAAAGATTCTCAGGAGGCTGCTTTCTTTAGGACTGAAAGCCTCGTCCTTCACGAAGCGTAGGAGCCGGCTTGATGGCACACCCTAGGGATCGTGCCGTTAACTTCTCCCTTGACTGCGTTAAGATGAAAATGCGTGCAAGCCCTTGAGTTAGTCTTTTATAATAATTTGCATAATTAAAAACCCACCGATTTATTTGGTAGACTCTGCCCCTCTTTATAGCAGGGTTGTAATATCATGCGCGATCATTGACTCTTCTTTGCTGATAGCTTTTAAAATAAAATGTCGTTTTTGAAATGTGTCCTCTGAAGAAATGTCGAAGAAAACTGTGTAGGCTTTGTATGATAATCAGTGCTTTTTAATGAATGACTCAAATTTGGCATGAACTGAAAAGAGGTTTCAGAAGGCAAAAATAAGTGGGATTTGAGGGAAATATTTTCTCTAGCTGTAGAATTGAGAGGAGTGTTTAGAGGTGGTGATTAAACTCCTGCTTTCAAGATGATGAAGTGTTGGAAATTGTGCAGATCTACTCGGGCAATAGGAGGCTGACAGAAAGATTGCTGCTTAATCCATCTGCATTTATAGAGGACAAAGTTCTCTATTGGCATCACTGCAGTCTGTGGCGTGTTCCGAAAAACCCCAACAAAACGTTGTATTGGTGGTGTTTGTAGCCTGCCTGGTACCGTAACTCTCCGAGGTTGTGTTTTGTGGAAACATTACGCGGTTGCCTTATTTCTTCGTAAAATCATTTGTTCCATGCCCTGTGTTTTCCAAGCGCAGTTTCCCTTTAATCCATTAACAGTTAAAGATGAATATTTGGCAGTGTTTGATTCTACTATAAACAAGTTTCCAACAATGAGGGGATTGTTTTCATAACAGAAATGCATGTTGAGAAATCCACGGCTGAGCAGTCATATATTCTATGACTCCTGAATGTTTCAACGGAGAAAAAGTCTTTGTACGATATTTCCCTGGTAGGGAAAATGTAAACAAGTTTTTATTTTTACAGTATTTTGCCATTAGCATGGCTAAAAAAACTTACTGCTTATTGCTGAGCAAAAAATAGAGCATAAAATTTAAAATGGAAAAAAACCCCCAAAACCCT